GTTAACTACATCAGCCTCATATATCCAGTGCAAAACCAAAGAAGCACACTTCAGATACCAGACATGTCTCTCCTCAGATACCAATCATGTCTGATTGACTACCACAGGAGTAAGGGGCAATTTTATTTTTCGCTATTCCTTTAACGGGGGCACATTCCCAGAATTTCAATCAAGTCTCACAGATTGTGTGAGATTTTGAGATTAGCAGGCTGGTTAATCTGGGAGGAGTGCAGAAACAGGGAAGCAACTCCAACACGGAATGCTCCAGAACACACGATGCGAGTGGCCAGCTACTGGCAGCCGTATAAGTACTCAGCTGTAGACGGCTTTTGACTCAGCGCAGTAGTAGAGGCTGGAGAACAGGACTGCTGTCAGCTGAATTATACTCTTACACTCTAATGTGGTATGTTTGCTTACATGGGCTGCTCTGCTGGTACAGGGGAGGCTCTGAGAGTTTGCAGTAAAGAGTTTGTAAGATGCTCTAGAGTACACAGAGTCTTTTTTGACCCTTATCCTCAGAGGACTCATTTCACTGTCTGTGGTGATGCTGAAAGAAGACTTCTAGTGCAGTGCATGATTATCTTTTCATAAGCAGTGCACAGGAACAGGACTGGAGACAGCGGTGGTAAATGATGGTACAGCTTCATGCTCGCTCTCTCTCCCTCTCTCTCTTCTTCTTCTTTCAAACTCACACACACCCTTGCATTTCTATCGCTGCAGGGTTTAAAAAACCAAACCAGTAACAGGGGCTGTAAATTAGATTTAGCTAGATGCCCTATGCATACTACAGGGCCACCCCTCATGTAGATACATTCATCACATTCATCTAGGAAAAACAAGAGCATTAATAAAGAGTTGACCCCACATTACTGTTAGAACAGCCTCTGCTCTTCTGGGAGGGCTTTCCACAGGATTGTGGAACATTGCTGCAGGGATTCTCTTCCATTCAGCCACAAGAGTATTAGTGAGGTCAGGCACTGATGTTGAGCGATAAGGCCTGCCTCGCTGTCGGCATTTAAGTTCATCCCAAAGGTGCTGGATGGGGTTGAGGTCAGGGCTCTGTGCAGCCCAGTCAAGTTCTTCTACACCAAACTCGCCAAAGCATTTCTTTATGGAGCTCTCTTAGCTTTGCACAAAGGTGTAGTTATACTGAAACAGGAAAGTGTCATCCTCAAACTGGTGCCACAAAGTTGGATGCACACAATTCTCTAGAATAGCAATTCTGTTCTGTAGCTCTAAGACTTCCCCTTCATTGAAACTAAGGGGCCAAGCCCATTATTCCTCCTCAACCAAACTTTACAGCTGACTCTGCAATTTTTTTCCATTTCATGTGCATTCTGCAATGTGATCATACATTGACAATTGCCCTGTGAATGACTATCACAGCAGCTTGGTTACATGCAGAAATGCCATCAGAAACAGTATTTTCCTATCATATTATTAGGGTAATGATAAGTTGTCATGTGATCTTTTCATACCGAGTCAATTTTTATGGATGAAATTGAGGTTTGGAATTTCAACACACTGAAATGTAATGCCAATGCACTTATTTATTATAGACGAAGAAGAAATGGATCCATTGAGTACTAACTGCAACAAAGTTATCATTTTGTTACCTGGTGTGACTCAAAGACACAGACACTTGGTAACCACCCATTCCACCCAAACAAACAAACAAAAAAAATATCAATACTGACTCATTTTATAAAGCAGGAGCTTGGAGCACTAACCTTATGGAACTAAGCGTCTCACTTTTGATACATTTGAGAATTTTGCAATGGCCCCTTAAACTCATTTAAATCTGCCACCAGTTATTATGTTATTATGGCATGTGTGTGTCCACATTGGCTACAGTGACACATATCAGCTGTAGAGTCAGAGCTTGTTAGTTCACGTTCTTTGCATGTCAAATAAATGCAACAGCACTAAGAAATCACACAATTAATGGAAAAGAGTCATGCTTGAAAAAGATGGTTCTTTAGTAAAGAAAATGATTCTATACCCTGTCAGAAATAATGGTACTAAACTGTCACAGGGGCAGGACCCCTCTTGTCACTGGGGTGGTACCCTCAAGCATACATCTCAGTACCTTTAGTCAGGGAACATAATTGTACCATAATCCATTTAAATTATATTTTCTAAGTTGTATTGACTCCACACACCCCGTCTCGTCTCCAGGCTTTTTATTATATTGTTCTGTTTTAAAACATTCGGTTATGAAAAGCTACAAATTTGTACTTTTCACCTGGAAAAACTTATTTAAGGTTCAAAATTGGACCTTAAAACCACTTTTGTACCTTTGAGGGAAGATTTACATTGTTTGTACCTTGATGAATGAAAAATGTACCTGCACAGAACCTTTATTTCTGTTCCATTATATTATATAACAGTATATAGAACCATGAACACTTAAACAACCTGTTGCATGCTTAAATGGTTCTTTGCATAGTATAACAATTCTTCAGATTAATGGATAATGTGATGTATATGGTTCTATATAGCACCAAGAAGGATTCTTCTGTTGTTACAAGCTTGACATCATAACAATAGGAGAACCTTTTTGGTTGCTATTAAGAATCCTTCTCAAAAAGATTCTATATAGAACCATATGCGACACATTCTCCATACAATCTGAAGAACCATTTCACGAAGTAAAGAACACTTTAAGCACACAAAGAGTTCTTTAAGTGTTCATGGTTCTATATAGAACCATTTTCTTTGCAACAGAACCCTTGAAGAACCATTTTTTAAAGAGTGTAGATTAAACTGCACAATAAGCCCAGCGAACTAATGATCATGAGCTCCGATTTGAAAACCAATATTAGTTTTAATATTTATGTTTTGCCCTAGAAACTGCTCTAGATATATTGAGTATTACTGCAAAGTAATGGTATGTAATAATACATGCCATTATAAATAATAGTCGTTTAAAATAAACAGTGGCAGATTTTTCATATCTGCTTATTGTCCAGCTCTATTATGGCTGTCCACATATTTTTGCCCATGTACTGCTCATCTGTATATATAATAATGTTTACATGTAAAACTATAAACTATCATTTTCTTTGCCCTCTGCATTATTATTATTATTATTTTTATTATTATTACTATTCGGTGTTATTATAATTATTACAAATTATGAAGAGAAAACGTCCTCCAAACGTCACACTGGGAATACACTGAGCTAAATACTTTAATCCCCCTCACTTCCCACCCCCCATCTATCTCCCTCTTTCTCTCTCTAACTCACACATTTACTCATTTTCCTCTCTCTCTCCATCTCTTGGGTCATACGTCACGCCCGCGTGGCCCCCGCTCGCTGCCGCGCGGAATCCATTTGCGAGGCTCGAGGCGACGAGTTTCATCTGCGCGCGCCGCGGCCTTTGATCTTTTGCGCGTGCGTGCGCGCGCGCTACAACCTCTATTGCGGCCGTCCAAGAGCGCACATGCACTACACATTACATTACACATGTGCAGCGATACGCATGCGCGCTGTCATGATAAAGCCTGGACAGCACACAGGCTAATACATACATTATATATGTTGAAACATACTGTGAGGATTTGATTGAATGTATATCTATTTCAGAATAGGATATTAAACATCGACACACTCACAATATCTTGAATCCTTTGATGATTTTATGCACTATAAACAGTGAACCTAAAATTCTGGCAGTCGCTTATTGAGGAAAGTTGCTCTCAAACTGATGGATCATTTGCTGACACTTATCTTTTTTTGGCTAGCCTCTTTGCTGATAAAGTACTCAGCCTTTCCTGGACGTTCTTTTTATAGCTAAGCATGATTGCATCACCTGTTTCAATGTTTTTTGAACATTTCACAATGTTCACAGTCTTACATTGCTCCTTTCCCAACTTTTGTGGAACATGTTGCAGGCATTAATTTCAGAATGCGTGTATATTTACAAAAAAACAGTAAAGCTGAAACAGTAAAATATGAATTGTCTTGTCTTTGCACTGTTTCAGTTTAAATACCGCTCAAAGTAGATTCATAAATCACTGTTTTCTGTTTTTACATCACTTCCTGTCCCAACATTTGGGGAACTGAGGTTTGTACTTGAAAAGTGATGCTGCTTAAATAAATGCAAGGTCTTCAAAGCAGTTCTTCTCCACATTGAATAATATAGTGAGTGTAGTACATTTTCTGTGAAATGGAAGCCCAAAAGGACTTATTTTAGATGAGAAAGACATATTTTAGATCACTTATTTTACCTATAAAGACTTATTTCACAAACGAGTTAAATGTGTTTGTTTGGATTAAAAATACAGAGATTAAAAAAAGCAATCAAACAAATAAAGAAACAAACAAACACCACGCTCTTGGAAAAAAATCAGACCATCACGGAGGAGGCGCTAAAAAGCCCAGCACGGCCGGGGGCACGAGCCCTGCGCTGTGTGTGTGTGTGTGTGTGTGTGTGTGTGTGTGTGAAGTTAGAAAAGTGTTACGCAGCTGGTTAACGGTGATGGAGTGAATGCGGCAAGCTATTGGCTGTGGGCTTTGTAAATTTCACTCAGCGCAGTCCAATGGCAGCGAGAGAGCGAGAGAGCGAGCGAGCGAGCGCGAGAGAGTAAGAGAGGGGGAGAGAGAGAGAGAGATACAGATAGAGGCAGAGTGAGAGAGGAGGGGGGTGTGCGACTGGTCCAGCTTTGGTGTCTCTCTCCCACTCTCTTTCATCTTCTCTTTCCTGGGCCGCTCTCTCTCTCTCTCTCTCTCTCTCTCTCTCTCTCTCTCTCTCTCTCTCTCTCTCTCTCTCTCTCCTCTTCCTCCTCCTCTTCTTCGATGTGAATCTCCTCCGGTTTTCTGCGATGGTGGTGTCGCGCGCTTGCTGAGCAGCAAGCAGCAGCCCCGGGAGTGTCCCCAAATCTCTCTCTCTCTCTCTCTCTCTCTCTCTCTCTCTCTCTCTCCTCTTTCGCCGGACTGCAACACCGCTCGGATTCTTTCTCTTTTCTATTTTTTTCATTTCCACTGGAAGGAGGGAAGAAAGGAGGGAGGAGTGGTGGTGGAGGAGGCGGAGGAGGGGGGAGGCACAGTGGAGTTTTTATTATTTTTTTTTTATTTTTTCCCTCCTTTTGCTTCGCGGCCCGCGTGCGTTTTATTCCTCCGCATCATCTCCCCGTGAAGTCGGCGGCGGCGCGGCGAGGGAAAACGAGCGGGCACGATGCAGATGTGGCCAAGGTAAGGGAGGCGCGCGAGCGCGCGTGCATGTGCGTAAAGTGTCTTTTTTTGGACATTTTGTTTTTTCAAATGAAAAAAGTGCCCCCGGTTTACGCTGGTGTGGAGATTATGGCTCGTGCGTAATTCCAGACTGTAGGACTCTCTTCTGACCGCTGTATTCTCCCTCTGACGCCTGTCCTGCTTTCTAATAGCCGTGAAATGGTGAGCAGGGCTGAGATCTGAAATCTGCTGGACTCTAAACGGGCTGTTTTTGGAAGCGCTTCTGAAACAGCCGCGTAAAAAGTGCAGGATGTTTTTATTTATTTATTTATTTATTTATTTGGCAAGGGCTCACTATTTACTTACCTGTGGCGAACTCAAGCTTGGGCGACACGCTATCAGTGCCCCATAAAATTGTGGGCGCTCGTGCGCTTTCCGCGCTTGGCGCATTATTAGAAACCCCCCCAGCAGACGTGGAGAAAAAAACAGGAATGCGCAGTATTGGGACTCCAGGCGTTGTGGCTGTGAAGAAGCCAAGAAGCTCGTTCAAGGCGCGAGCGCTTAGTATCGCCTGCCAAGCCGGGTATAGGGGCTAATCTGGAGCAACAGTAGGCTATCTGGGCTCTGAAAGCAGCCTCGGGGCGAAACGCTCTGCACGCGTGCACGTGAAGCAGGCAGCAGTCAGGAAGGCGCGTGCAGGGTGAAAGTTGGAGTTGAGACCGCGCGTTTGGTGGTGCTAGCAGGAGCTCGTGCGAGTTTCAAGGCGTTTGCATTTGGGGGGGAAAAAAGCACAGCAACGCGACGTCTACCCTCGTCAGCCTGCGCGCGCCACTGTCCCGCCAGTTCGCCACTGAACCGCAAGGTGGTACTGTGGACATCTGCATACGTGCGCTTTTTTGGGGGGAAGGGGGAGGAAGGCAAGGTGGGAAAAGAAGAAGAGGACATCTCTGTAGTCGAGAACAGTGCTTAATCATCTTCCCTTTCACGCGCTGGTTGTTTGTGAAACTGCAAGGACCCGTATGTTGACCCCACACTTCAGTGCCTCCCTACATCTTGACTTAGATATTAGTTTAAGAACAGTAAGTCACAAAAGGGCATTTTTGCTGTATGTCGTATAAGCAGTTGAGCCACCAGAGGAGCAGGTAGAGTTTTCTTCTTTACTGTTTTTCAGTCATGATGTTGACAGAATGGCATCATATCAAATCATTGTTGATGGCATTGCATCCATATTTGCATTATGTATGTCATATATGTTATTGTTATTCTATTGCATTGGCACATATTCAACTCTTTTGTTGTTAAAATGAATCAAATATCAATTCCTTTTCATTCTTTCAAACAAATAATGTTGTGAATGGTGAGGGCCCTCAAGTAGGACATCATTTAGGGCCCTCAGATGATCAGAAACAGCTCGTAACTTAATAACAAAGGGCATTAGCACTTAATAGCATAACATAGACGTCAGCCATATGGAATACGTTCCTGAAAATGCACTGTGCTGGTGAACGAAGGTTCATAAGATGACCCCAAGCTGACAGCTCCACCTCCTAGAAGAATAGTGGTGATTGTATTCTTATCAGTTAATGGCCTACAGTGGACGGCGCTGTCCATTCTCCACTCACGCTCAAGCGTACTGATCCCATCCGAAATGTCTCTTTATGGGCCTTGAAAACACACCATACCGTTCCTAACAGGGATTGATTTCTTATCAGGTACCGCTGTGCAATTACTTTAAACATCACAGTGGGACCAGGCCAGATTTTGAAAGCGTGGGGTTGCGTGCTGGACATAACAAAGCCACGTAGATGTCTTATCATAACCACTGTCTGGCTATGAGGATCAATGTTTGTTTTGATTTGAATCACAGGTGCAATTCAGCAGATTATGTATGGTCCAATCTCACTCGCCCTTCTCTCTTTCTCTCTCTCTTACTCTCCCTCACTGGATCACTGGCTGGCCCGTGTGTTCTCGGCACTGTCACCTTTGAATAAATCCCCCTCTCCATTCACTCGTGGCTCTCTGGGGTCCCTGTCCACACTTGGGCAGTCGCTAGAAGGATGGAGAGAGAAAGAAAGAGAGAGAGCGAGAGAGAGTGAGTAGAGCGAGCATTGCTCGGAGAAAAACAAATTCTAGCTGGCTCTTCCACTTGCCGGGTGATAGCAGGTGCATTTGTGGCAGCAGAACTACCACTTCTGTTCCGTGAAGTTCACCCAAAGGTCAAGCACAGTTTTTATGGTTTATTTCTTGCCTTTTTTCTCTCTCTCTCTGTCCCTCGCCCGAAACAGCTGATGTCACCACCTAGTGCCTCGCTCTCTCTGTCTGGAAAGGAGCCTCTACTAACCCTGCCCTCCACCACATCTTTTTATAATAATTAAAATGCAAATGAAGTGCCTGCACCTTCATTGAAATTCGCATGAGTTATCGGTGGGGGCTATCGCGTGGACAGTGAACGCTATCTTCTCCCTTCTCTTGTTGCCATTTTGCTCTCTGCCAGGACGTTGCGTGGGCGTGAGTTTAAAAGAAAAAAGGAGAAAGGGTCTCTATGGGCAGCACATTCAAGACATTTCTCTGACTCTACAGACTTATCTTGTTCAAGGATAACGGAGGCAGAACAGGCCTTCAAGGCTGTCAATGACAGTGTCCAGACACCCAGGAGGCACACACACCTTTTGGCAGATATCTAATTATCCCAGTAGAAAAGAGCTTTTGCTAAATCACATGCTAAATGACATCAAGCTAGCTTTTATTTGTTTTTAGCCACATAAGCATTTCTAGGCAAGTTACTGTTTTAAAGCCTTTGTAAAGAAATTCCAAAAAAACAGTACTGCTGCCCCAGGAGTAGCCCTGAGTTTGACTTCAAAGAGCCCAGCACACATAAATATTCTACCTTTTCGGTGAATTCTGTCTTATAGTGTTACTGCTGAAGCCTCTTTTGTTGCATTGCCATAAACTAGCACACGGTTGCTGCTAGCCATACTTGAAGTTTGTCATTTTTGTAATTTTTTTTCTTCAAACAACATCAGTTCACATTGGCTAATGAGTGGCACATGAGCTTAGTTTTGTTTAGTAGTAAAAAGAATTGATGTTATTTCAAAAATGCTAATTGGTAAAAATTCAAATCCATTATTAGCAAGATTACCATATTTATCTGACCTCTTTCTTTTGACCTCTACTACGGAACAGCAGATAAAAAATATGGCATAATTTCAACTATTTTTAACTTGTATTGTAAGACAGGTGCTGCCATCCAGTCCTTATGGTGTACACCCTCCTTTGGCATGGATGCTAATTCAAAGCTCCCTCAACTCTCTGATGCTAGCTGGATCTATGTGAGGGAATCCTGGACGAAATACCACCAGCTTAACATTTTGTTGGAAGTAGTTTGCCCTGTTTTTGGAAGTGAAATTTCCGACTGGTCTGTCTGCCATGAGAGCTGCCAGTGTGAAATGCGCATTATCATATTCAATGTGTTCCAGATACAGAAAATGATGCAATGATGCAGCACAGAAGGATGTTTAGCCTATCAGCAGGGATGGCTTTGTGTTTCATATGCAGGGCTGGTTTTATTCTATTTTAACTGCTTTTTTCTACTCAACTGCAGCAGAAATCCTGTTTACCTGAGTGAATAAACTAATTTACTTATCTTCTCTAGTTATTTGATACATATGATAACCACTCTTGAGAGCTTGTTTATCCAGCCTAGAGTTGTTTCAGAACTCAAGGGTCTCCATTACAGAGACCTGGCAATAAAGCTTGTATAAAAGCTGTCATTTGTACAGGGACTTGAAGTCCCATTTGAGGTCCAGCAGCTTCATAACTAGCCAACCTTTGGAGACAGCAGCAAATGTTCTCTGAGCAAAAGCTTCCTAGGGTTTGCTTCTTTTTTATGGTTTGTAAAGGCATCAAGGGATGTTTTCAGTGCTAGAGAGCAGAGGAAGCAATGTTTTTGTTCTTTGTTTTCTCTTGTGACCATTGGTACTTAAGAAATGTACTGCTGTAAAACGTTCTGAAACTGATATTCCCTGGACTGGTTTAGTTTAATGCGAGTATTTCAGTGAGTGCATTATAGCAGCTGTGCTTTGTTTGAGCAATCAACTTCTCACGAGAACTATTATCTTCCATCTGATCACTGCTCAAATTGCACCGCAAGATGCAGATACTAAAATTAAGTTCATTCTCCAGTCTCACATTCTTGGAAGATTGCTGGAGAACAGCAGCTGCTTTGAACATGGCACGGCAGACAGTCTGGAAGGTTCTGTTTGGCGCAGATCTGTGACCAGCCTTGCGGTTTCTCATCTAATGCTTAAAATGAAAGATTCAGGCATTGGAATCTGGGATTGGATCGGGCCTACTTTCTTGTCAGGAAAGTGGTTTTCATTGCTACAGTACTACATTTATAATATTATGTGTCAGCTGTGAGTGATCTCAGAAGCTCTGGGTGTTGGTAGAACATACCCATTAGCTGCTGAGTTGAGACCTTTGTTTTCATTCACAGTGGGTTAATGATAATAAGAAAATTGGTGATCATGATCCTAGATCAGCACTTTTCAGAAGACCCCCTCATCTCAGTTACTGACAATTTTGTTAATGAAGAGATCAGAAGAAAGGTAAGAAAGTACATTCCCAGTTGATGTATGTAGAGCTCAATCATTAAAGCTACAGTACGACAGAACCAAAGCCCACTCAGCACCCCAACCCCTCCCCACCCTACCATAAATCCAATCCACTAATGCGAACCAAATGTGCATGATCAATACATGTGATTAACATGCCCTGAATCCTTTCCGGGAATAAAGAGCAAAGAACGGACATTGTAACGCTGTAACGGAATTCTATCTGTATCTAAATAACAGCTTTTTACTATGTAGTAAAAAACCTGACCGTTATGTGTTTTGTCTAAATCCCCCTTTAGAATGACCAGGGCCAAAGGCTGATGCTGCATGTGGTTTGACATTATCTGTAATGTCAAACATTTAAAGACATTTCCACTGATTGTTCTAAATTTCAACATAATTCTATTATTGAGATGTAAACAAAGTCATTCAGAGGTTTATGTAAATGGTGCATTGTAGGGAACCTTAGCTCATATTTCTTTACAGTGATAGTAACCAGGGGTTGAGATGTTTACAGCACAAACATGGCCATTTTATTTACTGTCTAAAATGACCAGTGAACCTACACATCTCCTGTTGATAATATTGTTGGTAAAATAGTTGACAATTTAAAAAAGATACATTTTATGTGGAAAATATTTTGCCCAACAACACTCTGAATGTATCTATCTGCCATTAATGTATTAAAAAATACATTACAGGCCCAAACCTCAAAACTATCCTAAAACAACACCCCTTTTCTAAACAATTCTGACTGTAAATTTCCATAGTGTGGTGCATTAAAATCCTACTTAGACCACTCTGAATCATGTTGTTTACATCTTGGCAGTTTAATTTAGCAGATATTTTTAAAAAAAATCTGTGGAATCCCCATTGACCTAAGCCAAAACACAGGTGCTTTTGTTAATATAAATGTTGAATCTCTGTATAATCCAACAGCAACAATCAGCCACCTGAAGAGGACATGAGAATTAGTGTCTCTGAGACCAGTTAAACATTAATTGTACCCCTTTTGTCTCCACAGCAGCCAAATTTATTTCCCATGGCCACTGATGATAATAGCTGGTCACCTGATGTGCTTGAATATACTTGTAAATTTAGGATTCAAGCCTTTGAAATGCAATATCATGATATCATTTGTGACATTGAATCAAGAGACGGACATACTGTAGTACTGAATTGGTCAGTTTTGGCCATTGAGAACTTCTAATGGAATAGGTGCCTTAGAGATATTGATTGGAAAAATAATGAAATTATTCCAGAACTGACCAAAAATAAGAACAATTGCTGAACCATGGAGGATAAAACAATCACAAAAAAGACATTTTCAACGTAATAGATATACAACCTTTTTGATTGTTCTTTTAGTAGCGATATCGACCTGAAGGTGGGACAGATCAATTGTGTTTTATGTTTATGTTGCAAATATTCCATGTGTAATGTGGATATTCGATCCTCTGTTTTCCAGACTGCTTATAAACTGTGGAGTTCTGTAATGAGAATCATATTTCAAAATAGCCTCACTTTCAACCTATGTGTTCACATCTCTTCTCGAGCTGGCTCCTCACTGATGTGCTGAGTATGCACCTTCTTTACAGGTTTAACTCCAAACCTTCAAAAGGATTGTTGCATTCATCAGCATTTGTGAGCATGCATTTAAACATATTCTACTGTTTGTCCTCCAGGCAGACCACTGAAAATGGAGTGAAGAGAGGACAATAGTTATGCCAGAGGACATCTAAGAAGTCGGAACCTTTCGGCTTCTGGGAGAGGATAGCTTTTTCACAGATCTAAACCTGATCTAGACCTGTGTTCCTGTCCAGGGATGGGGGATTTCAATATTAGAGGTCTGATTGGAGGGTGTGTTGCCCATCATCTGTCCATTATAGCCTAAGGGAAAGGTTTCACCGTGGCTTTGTGAGGGGGACCATAGACACCTTCTACTCACTAACCTCAGCTGGACCATGTCACGGCAAGGAGGAACCGCATGGATGCCTTCAACCATGGTCCAGCCATTTTCTACTCTACCCCGAATCTCTAGGATCGTGGTCGTAGTGGTCTGGCTAGCCATGGCTCAGGCACAACAGCATCCCATCGTCACTACAAACTATGGCAAGCTGAGAGGCTTAAAAACAGCGCTGCCCAATGAGATTCTGGGGCCCGTGGAACAATACTTGGGGATTCCCTATGCTCTTCCGCCAACAGGGGAGAGGAGGTTTCAACCCCCGGAGCCACCAATGTCTTGGCCAGGGATCCGAAACGCCACTCAGTTCGCCGCTGTTTGCCCGCAGTTTCTGGAAGACCGCTTTTTGCTCAATGATATGTTGCCTGTATGGTTCACCGCCAACTTGGATACAGTGGTAACCTATGTGCAGGACCAGAGCGAAGACTGCCTGTACCTGAACATCTACGTCCCCGACCGAGGATGGTATGTCACCTTTTTTTATAGATAATCTTTGCCTTTCAATCCTTGTTTTCCTTTCTCAGGTTCATCCTTTCTGAAACAACTGTTTGTTATACTGATTGTAACAAAAGGTTAGTCAATTCTGTCAGGACCACACTGTGGTTTTCTCTTTCTTCAAATCTCAGACAACACCACACCTTTGTCCTCTCAAAGCCACTTGCAGCAGTCACTCCTGCAGAGATCTCAGATGAAGGCTCTAGGTGCTAGCAGTTGATACTCCAAAAGTTCAATCCAAAAAATCAAAACTCCCAAAAAGCATTTGGCCTCAGTGGCAAGGAAGCCACATAGTGCGGTCTGCTGAGACTCTCAAAAGAGATTTTAACAGTATTGATTTTCTACAGTGCAGAGGCCCAGTCAAAGAAAGCTCTCATAAACACTAAATATCATGAAGCATCTTTTCAAAGGTAGTACAAGATTCTTGTTTTGTCAAACAAATCTTTTATTTGGCTTTGTATCTCTGAATGAAACATGGTGAGAGTGTCTGTGAGATAGCTGAGCATAATATTTGTTCAGAATTTTTGTAACAATCAAAATTCAGAAGGCATTTTAGAGGTGGACATTTTGATGGTACACTCTTAAAAAACAAGGGTGCCAAATAGGGTAATTTGCATTACCCATAGAAGAAACACTGTCAGTGGCTGGTTCTTTAAAACAGTGGTTCTCAAACTGGTCCCCAGTGACCCCCAGATGGTCCACATTTTGGCTCTATACCTATGTAAAGACCAGTTTGAGAACCACTGCTTTAAAGAACCATTTTTGCTAACGAGAACCTTTTCAAAGTTCAAAGAACCTCTGCAAAATGTAAAAGTTCTCAGAAGAATTCCTAAAATGTTATAGAACTTTTACATTATGTGAAGGTTCTTAAAAGATTTAAAAGGTTCCTCACACTCAACAATTTTTTTTTTGAAACGTAGTTCTTTAAAGCATAGTTCTCAAACCAGTTCTCAGGGATCCAGATTTTGCAACACTCGAGTATAGAGCAAAAACATGGCCTGGCTAGGAACTGCTAGAGAAAGTGGTTCTTAAATAACAGCCATTATGGATTATGGAAAAATAAGAATTTTATCTTTTAAATTATATAATAAATCATGTTGATTATTAGCAGACACATGAACTATATAGTGCAATAATGGTCAGTTTTAGTTTCAGGTAGACTTTAAGAGTGCATAAGTTTTTGAACTGACTGCATTTGACACTAAGCATGACAAAACTCTGTCAGAGCTGCCGTTTATCTGTGTGTAGCTTTGTAAGTTTTTAATTGTGTGCGAATGATCATAATCCTTTGAGTTTAAACCTGTGCTCATAATCATTAACCCAGCAGAGATTTGGGGTCAACTGAGGTTAGGAAGCGATTGTACTAATGATCCTGCCTGGAGTGTGTGCGCGCCCCTCTGTGTGCTAAATTTAGCCGGAACTGGATTGAAAGCTAGATTAAGGAGGAGAGAAAAGGGATAATCTCACAATCGAAAAATCGGAGTACAAAGAACAAGGGCTCTAATTCCGACAGATTCTGGTTAATTCTTCTGGAGAGGGCAAGCAGCCATGCCCACCTCTTCAAACTGCTGCTGTCTTATTATCGTGACACTGCCTGGGCAGGAGTCTCTTGACGAGGCTTGTTGTGCCAAGAACTTGATTATTCAACCTTGTGGAAGGCCTAAGTGACTCAGCAGGGCTAGAAATAATGTCCCCGCATATCTTGCTGCGAAGAATCTTGTGCTTACTAAGCAATGGTGGGCAGATAGCTGAGTGGTTGGGGCTACTGACTAGCAACTGGAGGGCTGTGGGTTTGATCTCAGCTGGGGATGTGAGTGGGCACCTTATACCAGAGAGCTTCACGTTGCTGCCTTCACAGTGAGAAATGTTATGGTGCCCTTTGTAGCCATTGTGCCCTTGAGCAAGGCACTTAATTCTATGTTTCTCCAGTGCACCACTGTTCCTGTTGCTCCTTCGCTCCTTCTCAATCAGAGAGCCCCTTGAATAAAGAACAGCAAGTTCCCAACGGCCCTACCTCGAATAAATGAGGGATGTTAGAAAAAATAAAATAATGTTCTAAGTGGTAAAGTGTACTGGGCTGTGCTGTTAACACAGTGATGTGAGAATAAAGGAATACTCTAATGTTTTTACCTGAATCTCTCTGTATTATAACCTTGATACCCACAGACAATAATTTCTAAGCATTTTCCTGTGCTCACTTATGGACTTATATGGGCTTATAATAGAAGTCAATGGGCAGTTGCTGAAATCTATGAATAAATGTTTGAAATACATGACGATATACATTTGAAAGTGCAACAGTTACATTCTAACCATACAAAGGGTGGAGCCAAGGGGGATCAAGTGGTGCATTCAACTGATTCCAAAAAACAAAGATCCAAAAAATGTTTAAAAAAACCTTCAATATTATATCACACTGTATCTTTATCATAAGTACATAGTTACTGCCATATAATTTGGGTCTGAATTAGCTTATGAGTAATTCAGTTACATTAATTATTAACCCCTTAAAATCCCAAGCTTATTACATACTAAGGCTTATTATTCAGTGACTACAGGGAGAGCTATTCTTAGGTTATAGCAGTGTGTAATAAAACTCTGGGCCCACCGGCAGGCCTTGGCCATTTAAGTGGTTAATATGATAACCTAAGTGAGTCTAAAATAGTCAAAATGGTCAATATAATTACAAATCACTGGATTCACTTTTCATGGGTGAAATATTAGTATTTATTAAAAGGCTGTAAAGGCATTGTCAGGTTTTGTGTTAAGCATTGGTAGCCTGGGTTGTAGATAGCAACATAAAACTGAAGTGCTTGGCTTTATTTTTCCCAGAATATAGAACATTTAGTTTCAAAAATAATGAGAGAAGGTGGGTCTATGTCTGCTCTAGTTTTCTTCTATTGTATTAGCCATTCACAGGTGGTTAGCTTGATGACTAACAGACAAATGAACTATGCTAGTGCTATCTATCATCACATTTATACCAGGGCCTGAAATGAACACAAATCAAACACCAAGGGCATATTTCTGGCTAGGACTAAAGCTCAGGTCTAATATACTTCAACTGTGTCCTCAATGTAAGTAATAGTAAAAACAAAAAGAGAACAGACAATAATAACACAATAACATGATAAAATCCTGTGTTTGAGTCTGTCGTGTCTGTCATGTCAAATGTATCCAAGTGCACAATGGATTTTACTTAAGTTGTTCCTGTTTTGCTGCTTTCAAAAGCAGGTAGAGTTGCTCTAAGTAGTATCAATCCCAGTGAGTGATCCACTGTGTTTGAGCCAACAACAATGTAGCAAATGTGTTAATTGCTATTTGACTTTGTAAAGTAATGTATGTATATTGAGTTATTAACGTACAAAGACCATCTTTTTGGGCAAACTTAGCTCTCTGAGATGCACACAGTGTAATCTAAATAACAGTAATTGTGTCTGAAAAACTCTCTGTACTCCAGAAATTTAGGGTTGCTCTGATGTATTCTCAGAACTGGTCCAGTATAAATCATGTAGAGGATAGCAGAAGTGGTGGACGAGGATAGGGGAAAAAGCAGGCCCACTTAATTGCTGTGGTTAATAATGTGTAGTAGCATGAGGTCAAACGCTGACATATGTAATATACCCTGTGCTGATGATTAAAAGTTCCACTTATGGGAGAAAAAGGCCCTCCCCTTCTAGTATACTGGCTAAAAAGTTTTTTCCAAAGCTGATCTGAAGTTTTATCAAAACTCCACCCACAGTTATTTGAGCTGATTTCAATTCTTTTACGTTACAACAAACATGATGTGAAATGGGTACAAAGGACAGCAGGAAATGCATTTATTGCAACACATCATATCTCTTATGAAAACAAAGAAAACTTCCTCTAAAGGTGCTCTATCACTTTTAGAGGCAGTGGCAAATAATGTTTATTTATTTGAGCTCGAGCTATGCCTTCACTCTGGAGTTACTAAGTGCAAATAGTAAAAAAGATTTGGCTACTTTACACTTATACTTTAATAGTTATATACAATGAAAACAAAAGAGATAATTGAATTGTTAATTACAGTACAGATATGGAAATTAATAGTCAGCTGAAATTTCAAGATTGTGACAGGCCTGACAGAATTCAGCAACTGTTTACTGTTCTTTTCTAAGTACAGGGAAATGTGTGTGCGGTAACTGAGTGTATTAAGTTAAGCTGGCGTATTCCTTTAAACTGACTGGTTGAATTTCTGAAGCATGAAATTCACCCACTGGATCTAAAAAATAGATCTGAGGCCAGAGCTCTGTTTGTTTAAACTATATCCAAGTGCTTTGACAATTCTGGCGCTTATCAGTGTTTGATACGCAAGCTAAATACAATTTACTGTACATGTAAACAGATATGTCAATCACTGGCCTGGTCCATGTAAGAGGTCCCTGATGTCTTGTTAAATCTCTGGCCCTCTGATGGGGACCATGGCAGACAAGCCTTTGCAGTTAGCTTTCCGACTCTGCCTGCCAATCATGCTTTAGCGCTCAAAACTGCCCTTTTCAAATCCTGTGTAATGTGGAAACATCCTGCCACTTCAGGATCAGAGGGAGACTTAGACTCTCTCTCTCTTTCTCTCTCCCTTCAAGTATGGAGACAGATTTAAAATGCCCTTTTATTGCCGCGTCTCCTTTGAGAAGGAAGCCGGAGTTACAGGGCTAGCATGGTCAACCGGGTTCAACTCCTCCTCGCCTGAATATTACGCTACGCTCGCCTTGTTTATTCTCTGCAGACAGCTACATAGCCGCGGGGACTCAGGGGCCAATAGAGCGGCGTAAATGCTCTGAGTGTTTGAGAACACCGAATCTTTCCCTTTTTTATTTTTGGTTGTTTGTTTGTTTTCTCGTTTATTTATTTCTTTCTCGGCTACGTCGGAAATAGCGCAGAGGGGCCCGCGGTCTGTTAGCGAGCGGCTTTATCTTCCCGCGCAGCAAGTTGTGCGCAGGCAGCGG